CCTTCCCCTGTGGGTCATGATTTGAACACTTTAGAATCTACACTACCCCAGGATGCTTCCACATAAGTTTCAGCTTTTCTGGCCCAGTGGTTCTTGAGAAGAAGATTTTTTAATGACCCCACCCTATTTTTGTCTTTTCTTGATTATCTCCCCTTGTGAGGGGATATTTCCCTTCATTTTAACAATTTAAATTCCCCTTTACCCAAGAATGCTTTGTACCAAGTTTGGTCAAAATTGGCCCAGTGGTTCTTGAGAAGAAGTCGAACAAATCACAATTCACAAGCGTCCCAAATTATATTTATCAAGAGTGTCTCAACTTTTACGACGTTTACGGTATTATAGTAACGAATGCCACAAGAATTGTTAACTGGCATTATGAAGTTAAATTGTAAACGTACTTAACAAATCTCAATGTTTATAGGTACATGTACAGATACAGGAACCACGATTTGTTATTTTGCTTTTTAAAAAAAATTATTTATTCATTCAGTGCCACTAAGAAGGATCATTCATATTAAACATGTTAAAGAGTAAATACACCGTCTGTTCGAATAAAAAAGACTTGAACTCTGATGTGTATTTATGCAGTAACTCAGAAAAGTATTTATTATTAACAAATATTATGAAATTACAACAATAATGGTAATGACACTATGAATTATTTATCATTCAATCCATCCAAAGTCAAAATTATTTATCATTCAACCCATCCAAAGTCAAAATTATTTATCATTCAACCCATCCAAAGTCATCTATCTAATAATTCTTTACTAATTTTTAATGAGGAAGTTAAATCTCAGTATATCAATGATTCAATTCTAAAGTTTGTGAAGTGCACGTGCTGTGTTTTCCTTGCTTTTTGTATACCTGATCATGGAATTCCACAAAACATTACACACCTGTCACTAGGTCAGTGGGATTATGTTGTAAGCATAATTTTCGGCTATACAATTCATTTCAGACAAATGCAAAAGAGAGAGAGAGAATGTACGCCATAATTTTTGTCATTCTCCGACATTTTTAACATTTATACAAACCACACCAATTTAATTTCTTGTTCGTTGGACATCTGATGAAAAAAGTATGAGCGGGCTGGCAAGTAATAATAATATTATTACTTTATAGTAGGCAAGATCTCTAGGCGGGGCGTGAAAAAAATTAGAGCGGACAATTGTATTTTTTCTGATTTGCAGAGTAAATAGATTAAAAGTGAGATAAATAGAGCAGAAATATAACAGAAAACAGCACAGAATTTCCATGGTGCGGGGATTTTAAATTAATATTATTTGTATAGTTTTGTTTAAATACCAGCGCGGGGGTAGTGAACAATTTTTATATTGGTGTGGCCTGAATTATTAAATTTATATCAGACGGATCATACATGTAGATTAAAATGAATACAAGGGAATCGATAACAAAAAACAAACAAACAAACAAATCTGTATCTGTGACAATATTATTTGGGGCGCTCGTGATTAAAATTTTGGGCGCTCATATTTGTACTTCAGGGTTCGACATTAACGTTAGTCCGTTAGTCTCAGACTAATACATTTTCATTCGGACTAATAAAATTTGTAGCTAATTAGTCCGAACGGACTAATAAAATTTTCTGGGGGAATGTTCAAATTCTCGACATCTTTCACTGGAAAACCCCACATTTATTTTTAGCTTTCTATCTTAGGTAATTCTGAGTCAATTTGGCGCTTAATTTTAGGACTCATTGTTATGAAAGTAAACATAATAGCGATCATGATGTAGTGTTTGGATGATGTAATAATTTATAGAGAAAAACAAATGAGATCGCTTAAATATGACCGTAGTTCCTGATTGAGCGATTTCAACGAATTCTTGGTATAAACATTTCATGAAAATGCTTTATTTATTTCAAAAGAGTATAAAAATACATTGCAACAGAAATTCTATTTATTTACTTATATTTTTGACGGACTCATAAAATTGCCTGCGGACTAGTAAAAATAAAGAAGCACTAGTCCGGCCCGACCAAAGCCTAAAAATGTTAGTGTCGAACCCTGTACTTGGGCGCTGGTAAAAATCTTTGGGGCGCTCATGCATGGGGCGTTCTGGTTTTGGGGCGAAACGAAAGTAACCCAGGGTAACCCATATCCAGTGATATCTATTCTTGTTACTTCTATTTTGCCATATTTTACCATATGATATTTAATAGAGAAATAATTATTTTTACTGTTCTAGTGTTATATACATGCGTATAAATTCATATTTCTGATAAAGACAATTTGTTAGTTTCTTAGATGTACTTATGATTTAGGTATTGTTTAAATATTATAATTGATGTACTTGGAATTTGTAATTGAAAATTAATTGTTTTATTTGATCTTCAGAAAGAGCACTGCTGCACGTGTTTGTAATTTCTCAAACTTGACATCTCTCTCTCCATCCCACGGTATCGATGCTATTAGCTCATAATTGTTATCAGGTTTATGGTCAGATCTTAGACTGGTGTTTCTTTGAATTTGTTATGCTTACTCAAATTGTTTCCTGTGTTATAAATTAATGTCATTGAGCTTTCCCCAAACTTTACTACTGTCTTTTAACTTGTTTCATTGGTTCATTTATGAAATGTGGGAGGAGTTGTCAAAGATGAGACGTGCCTGAGTTTGTTTGTAATTCACTCTCACTTTAGGAATTTTTGTGTAAAAATGTGAATTTTGATTTTGTACTTTTGGACTTGAATAAATTCTAAACTTTAACCAGGAATTATCATTTCAAAACAATATAATTATTACATGGTGGAGAATCTAAAATTTCATTATTGACTTTGGACTAAACTTTGGATCTATTGTATTCACCTTTTCTTTTTATTCGGACTACATAAACTGACAAAAATGTATGTAACACACAAATTCCCCTGTTATGTGTCTCCAGCACCAGATTTGAACATGGATGATGGGAGGATGCTTTACAACAAGCCAAACTTGGTGAGGCGTATGGAGGACTTTCATAGCACAGATTTGAACATGGATGATTGGGAGGATGCTTTACAACAAGCCAAACTTGGTGAGGCGTATGGATACAGGACGAGCCACCCTAACACTGTAGCTGCAGTCCGTATCGAGGAGAAGCCTAAGCGTGGTCGAGATGAACAACTCTTCCAGATGATGAAGTCGATTACTGACAGGCTGGACAGACTGGAGGCTCCGCGTCGCGACCGTCCTCGAGGGATGCAGAATTACAATCAAGACCGCGCGAATGTCCGTACGTGCCACAGTTGTTCGGGTGAAGGACACATTCAACGAGTGTGCAATTGGAACGGTAATGGTGGAAGGAAGCCCAATGCGAAATTAAGCCAAACGTGCTATCGACACGCGACCGCAACCTAACTTATGTCGTCTTTATACAATGTATTAAAATGATTATGAACACTTGAAAAAAAAAATGTAAAAACAGAAAATCATTGAAAAAAATGCATGTTACATTTGTGTATACTGTTGATATATTTTATTTTTTTTGTTTGCATAATATGTTTGTTTGATACTTTTTGATCTGTATTAATTTACAGTGTTTCATATGTGTGTATGTTTATGTAATTACGGATGTTTTATTCCACAAGTATTACAGCTTACACATATTGTTGAAAACGGTAGAAATTGAGAGAGTAGGAGAAACTAGTATGCAATATTTGTGGCATACATCGTGTGATATGAAAATTTTGTATTGGTTTGATATTGTAATTGCTTTTCTAACCAAGGATGTTTTATTCCGACAGGGTTATACCTTATGCAATTCTACATAGTATTAGTATGCAGTATTTGTGGCATACATCTTGTGATATGAAAATGTTGTGTTGGTTTGATATATTAATTGCTTTTTCTAACCAAGGATGTTTTATTCCGTCAGGGTTATACCTTATGCAATTACGTAATTGAATGTTGTTTTATCTTTATTTGAAAGTGGTATGATTTATTCTAACCGAGGATGTGTTATTCCATACAGGTTATACTTTGAACAACCATATTCGAGAATTTGTTGTTTACATTTTTTTTTTACTATGCATTGCAGCGCACGCTATGAGTTCTTATGATGCACTCTGATTTGAATATTATGTTCGTATAAATGTGAGAGTGTTTGATGGTACCAATGAATGGTGAATACATGCTTCAAAAACATTTTATTCACTTCTGATTTCATTACTAGAATGCATTCTTCTTCTTGTACATGTATAATATTTTCTTCATTAGCATTTTGTTTAACATTTCTTTTGTGTGCGTATTTTACGATTGTCTTCATCGTTTAATGTTTAAAATTGTATGCCAATTTTTTTTAGGGGGCGGATGTTATATACATGCGTATAAATTCATATTTCTGATAAAGACAATTTGTTAGTTTCTTAGATGTACTTATGATTTAGGTATTGTTTAAATATTATAATTGATGTACTTGGAATTTGTAATTGAAAATTAATTGTTTTATTTGATCTTCAGAAAGAGCACTGCTGCACGTGTTTGTAATTTCTCAAACTTGACATCTTTCTCTCCATCCCACGGTATCGATGCTATTAGCTCATAATTGTTATCAGGTTTATGGTCAGATCTTAGACTGGTGTTTCTTTGAATTTGTTATGCTTACTCAAATTGTTTCCTGTGTTATAAATTAATGTCATTGAGCTTTCCCCAAACTTTACTACTGTCTTTTAACTTGTTTCATTGGTTCATTTATGAAATGTGGGAGGAGTTGTCAAAGATGAGACGTGCCTGAGTTTGTTTGTAATTCACTCTCACTTTAGGAATTTTTGTGTAAAAATGTGAATTTTGATTTTGTACTTTTGGACTTGAATAAATTCTAAACTTTAACCAGGAATTATCATTTCAAAACAATATAATTATTACACTAGGCATATGGTTTCGTGGGTGAGTGGGGAGGGGAAGTTGTGAAGAAAATGAAGGAAAACTGCTTGGCTGTAAAACATGTCAAAGGGCCAAACGTCCAGGGATGTTACACAAATAGATTTTTTTAGTACTTACCCTCTGACAGGTTCCAATTGTAAAATTGCTTGTCCTATCTAGAAATATACAGGTTTATCAACTGACGGAATATTCAGACATGTAAATTCAAAATTGCGCTGCCTTTGTTTGTAATTTAAGTCAAAATGGCGAACCCGATCATAAAATGTTGGCAAGTGGTAAAACTAGTCTTCCCGACTCCCGAGTGTCCTGGATATCTTTTTTTTTATATTGATATCTTTACACCAGCTTTAGGTCGATGTTACAACCAATGAACAGAATTTCATCAATTTTTAGGCTCATTTTCTAGGTGGCTGCAAAATTTCCACATGCATAAAAAAGTTTGAACAAAATTATTTTCAATATTTGTTTTTTTATTTTTATTACCCCATCACATGATTATTAATTTATGGTGATCAATAAGTTTACAGCAAAGGTTGGGGAGCCTTGGATTCCGCAAACTAATTGACAAAGTCCTTCAAAAAAAAATCAATAGTTTTCAAATATTATTTATATTTATTTAATCAATTTTAATTAGTGTAAACCTATAAGGTTTAGCACAGACATATATTGTTTGAACATTTTAAACTTAGACAATATTAATATCATAATCATTTTTAGTTATTAGCAGTGAAAATAAAATGATATAAAGGTTTATTAAATCAGAATGTATATTATTAGTGACGCAAATTCTGTGACTTTATAATTGGAAAAAGGACTTTAATTTTGTAAACAATTATTATCTTGTCAAAACAAACTGGATTTCGTTGTTGTTCAAATACACTATAATTTGGTAGATCATTTTGTAATGAAATTGATCCGAATAGATCAATCAAGCCCATCGATAGTAAGTAATAAAATTTAAACGGAAATACAATGGTATTATTAAGAGTTTTGATTAAGAGCAATAAAATTGGGAACTTTGAAGTAAAAGAGATTAAGGCTAGAACTCCTGTGGTGCAGAGATGGAGACTGAGCCCATAAATATCAGTAATATGTATTTACCTACATTTGAGGGTGGTGTCATGTTGGAATTCATACGTCAACGGACAGACCTACGAACAAAGCGTAGGTGGTTGGTGATGGTGAATTAGCCAATGAAATGTATTTTTATATCCGGGATCATGGATACCCACTGAGCACAAAATACCCTGTTTTGGTCAGAAAAGAGTATTTGTGATAGTATTGATTTTATATTGATTTTAATCTATTGTATTTTTCTTTCAGATGCCATTGAAAGTTCTAAAATAACTTTCAATAATAAACTTGATTTAAAATAAATATGTTTCATTTAAACATTAAACATGTAAATAAATTTGGAACAACTTCCTATTATTAAAGTCTAGAAATCTCTAGAGCCCTAAACTTAAAACTTAACTTTTAACCTTGAATAAATACATAAGTAAAAATAGCCAGTGGTCAATATTTCCCGCCAAAACCTTTGACCCCCTTTGTCCTATATATGTGTTCAGCTAATTATTAGCCCAGGAGCAGTCATAGTGTTTAGTTGTGTTTTTTGGTATTTTGGATAATTCTTTAAGACCACTGACATGCAGTAAGTTGACTTTTTGACACTTCTATTTCATATTGATACTTTCCTATTAATTACTGAATGAAAGAGGCATATTGAGAGAATTTATTAAATCATTTAAGTTTGTCAAAAGCTGATAAACTAGTTGATTTTAAAATTTGTAATAAATGTATTTCATGACACAAAGAATATAATATATAGTGTATGGATGTTATTTATAAATTGTAGATATTGATAATCCATAAGCCATACACACAATCATGAATTAGAGAGGGATTCATACCCATAGTCTGGTATGTTGCTATATGTACATAAAGCAAGTATATAATTGTAAATAGTCATTATATCCACTATTATGAAGTGAATAAGAGAAATATCATTTGTATATTTAAAGTCAAGAGATATAACTCATTGATATGTGTCAATATTTAATATTTTATAATCTAATTAAATATATAGTAATTATCTGATTTTATGATGACAATAGATTCTGCTGTTATATGTGATATCAACTTGAGTAAATGTATTTTATATTATTTTGCAGAATCTGCTTTATGATGATGCATTTGGTATTTATGCAACTGTAATAAAAGTCACCACAGTGAAACATCTTGTTTTCAATTGCTGCTCCCGCTACATATTCCCGGGAATTTTGGGAATCATTCTTATGGACTTTTGTTTATTTATTTATTTATTTATTTGGAGTTCGGTCTTAAACTCTTTATATTTTGGACGGACCCTTTGGACATCTATATAAAAAGTGTATTGGTCTTTTCTGATCATATTTCAGAAACGAATATTTCTAAAACTATACGATCACAGAAAAGTTGTAAATTGGATTCATTTAATAAACTTTGGAAACAAAGACAAGTTTCCTTCATTGGCTTACATTAGTTGCAATATGTTGAAGTAGCATGGAATATTCCACATACGACACAATCTCTCAACAGAGGGTGTTTTTACGCTCCGCTTTAACACAAGCGGATCGCGCCCTCTGGTGAGAGATTGCATACGACAGCCAACTGCTTACCGCCAACTGCCACAAAAGGCACAAAAATTCGAATAATTTTCAAAGAAGAAGTCTCAATAAGGCATTATTTGTGGTCCCCGGTTACTCGTCAAATTTTAAACTTTCATTAAAAAACTTAAAAAGTAAATTATATTATTTTCTCATGTCTGTAGTATTTGCGTCAACGTTTAAAAATGTCAAATAATTGAAATAGACATCACGCGAAGCTGTATTTTGAAGGCGGGGTCCTTTGATTTTCATGAATATCAAGAGAAATTTGTGACAGGTACCTACTTCTCAGCTTTCGTAAACATCGAGCATAGATTTGTTCAAAATCGAGATTAAAGTATAATATGTAAAGGGTGTTAAGAAAATTCGTTCCACCTTTTTCTTTTATTTTCGAAAAGAAATACGATGAGAAGATATTTATAATTTGTGATATTTCATGTTTACAGATTCAATTCTTACTACTGATAAGGTTTCAACTTTCTTTTGTTGAATCAATAAGGGGAGGGTAGGTATTAAAACAGATGATGTCTGTTCAGAAAAATTAGGGATGACGCATATTTGTGACATATTTTAAGTACAGAGGTCAAAATATTCCTTTGAGTACTATGCAAAAATTATCTAATCTGTGAAAAATTTCAAAATGACAAACCTTTTCTTTTGAAAAGTGATCTATCGTTCTTATACCTACCCTCATCAGCTTGTCTGATGCAAGATAAGCTATAAAGAAACAAAAATAGATTATCCTTTATTATCACTCAAAATGACAAGCATTTCTATCATTCGGGTGCTTTAAAGATGTTATATATATTTTCACATGAAAGACAAATGCTATAATTTCCTGCAATAAATGAATTGCTATAAATCTAAAGCACACTCATGTGATTTTGTCAGAATTGAAAATTAATCTCTTTATATAAGCACTACTTTGAAATTTTTGAAAATATTTTATCCTGGAACGAACTTTCTTAACACCCCTTATATTATATTAATACAGATTGTGTGAAAATATCTTTGTTGAACAACCTTGCGCTGTATGTTTTCTACTTAATAGTAGCATGGTTTTGAATCTGTTTGGTGAGTACATTTACATAAGATTAATCTCTTGTTGACCTGCTAAGAATAGATAATATGTCACGTGATTCCATTCCAACACAGGTGAATACCCCCGGAAAGCATGTTTTCTATAAGAAGCGACACATGTAGCTCGTATTTGAAAAGTGCAGTCACCAGCTTTTATTTTTTAAAATTCAAAACAAGGTTCTATAGACTTCGAAGAATATGACTCATGTTTTAAAATTTCAAATGGTGATTTTCATGGACATATCTTAATTTTCATACATGTAATCGCAATTTTCCTGGGCATTGCGAACAACACAATAATGTACGAGTAGATGTATATTTAAATAATCAATTTCTTGCGAGAAAAAACAAGCAAAAATACCAAAGACGATACAATTTCTTCACATTTAATCAGTCTATAAAAATAAATGCACTGTACTGACCACTTCAATATTCAAAGAAACCTTACACTTTTGTCACGTTTTGGGGTGCATATAAACTTGGAAAAACTTCGAATGTATTTATGCAACGAAGTAGATGAATATTGAGATTGAATTTCATTTACCAATCTTGTGATATTTATTATGAAGAATCCTTATAAAGTATAATAATTATGTTTCTATTACTCGATCAACAACTGTTTTTAAAGTGATTATACACATGTATATTAGCGATTTGTACACGCCATGTATATTCTAAACAATAATCGATAAGTAAATCGGAATATTCATTGCGGAATTTATAGAGAAATTAAGAAATAAATATACATGCCAGGCATGTAGTATCAGGGGGAGGGGTGACCCCTTCTTTTCAGAGATAAATTTTTAGTTCTTCATCCCCCTTCCACCCAAAAAAACTTTCTTATGCCTTTAGGCTGATACGATATGAATAATCATACATTGAAATTGTTGTTTTATTTTTCAAATAAAAATGAGTAATAGTTTGATGCATATGCCCACTCCTACAAAATCGATATTTTTTCAAGTTTGGAAGAGTTTACTCTTTTTCTTTATCAAACTTCTGTTCAGGTTTATTGTTTATTTTTTTCTCAGGTCCCCCTTTACAAAGGAAACGATGTGTATTTCTGTGTGCATTTACCGTAACTTATTATTCGATCGCTGGTGCTTTTTAAATTGTCATGTGGAAGAAAATTAATATAGTGGTTTATTTATTTGAAAGATGCATTTATAGATTAAAGATTAAAAAAGTGAGCCTTTGGGGATTTTCAAACCAAAAATACCTCAAGAATAAAAAGAAGACCCCTCATCCACGCCAAATTAAGAAGAAAACGAATAGCGCAAAATAAAATTCAAACTTATTGAACATTATTCTAACCTGTTCTACATTGATAATTATTTCTTATCTCACGCTAACGCTCACCATGTCTTCCTTTATATAGTACCTAATTTAAGGTGTTTCGCTTCTGACGAAATTGAATTCACCGCGCAACTCGAACTGCCGGAAATTGGTCTGAATGTCGTTATAATAAAGAATTCAATACGGCAGAGAATTAATAGTTTCTACAAATAATTATAATAATCATCAATAGAAAGTAACATAATAACGATTTTTTATGCCAGAAAACAAACATATAATAAGCATTTTACATTTCGCGGATGTGAACCGGATTACGATAATGTAAACAAAAAGCAGACGAGAAGTCAAGGTCTGCGCGGTAACTTTGGTTGAGATGGTGAAACCAAAGTACAGACGCCATGGGTTCGTCTCGAAAAAGCAGAAGGAGAGATATGATAAAGTATCTGCAGGGCAATTGACTCGATGGATTAGGGGAGCTATCCTTACAGACCACAATTACTCCGCCAGTGCAACCCCTGTCAGCGTTGATCACGATCACGGTTTGTACATGTAAAATACGTAGGCCTAATCTATGGCACGCCGATTGGTTCAAAAGTATTTTCTGCACGACCTTAAACAAAAATTACACGAGTAAGCCAAAACTTACACAAAGTGCAGAAAATACACACAAAGTTATTGAAATTTACACAAACTTCACAAAAACTACCCCATCAACAAAATATTTACACGATATCATGAGGAAATTACACAAACGTAAAAACGAAAACTGCACAAGTGAGAATACAACATCGACATAATATACGACGCATCCTCATTGCGCACATTTCATTAATATTCATTAGAGAACAGCTCAGTGTGGCTTGGATGCTTGAAACGTTATGAAACAAGAAGATGAGTAATGTGTTACCGTTTTTTTGTTTTTTTTAGAGATTCAGTCTTTCAGGATTACGCTAGACTCTCAAGAATATGCCCAACGTGTTTTATACTTGTAAAAAATGAAAGGCACACAATATGCATATATAAATTAACACCCCGATTAAAAATATAGAAAACGTTCAAAGGGAGTGCATATACCATGTATACACTATATACGTATTATCAGTTGCGTGTTTAATTGTTAGATTTTTTGTTTCATTCCTCTATATAGCAATATCTTTTAAAAGATTAAAACAATGATATTATCATTGTAAAGGTAAATAAATAAAAACAGCGTGAGTTAATACTGGAGATCGAGTTAACAAACTCTTCTCCTCCGCCACCCACTGTGTGTACTTTGGTAACAATTAAGGATGTGGATGTGTGACCTTTTCACATCGAGAAATTTCTCCCTACTGGGATGGAATGAAAGACATGTGTACGCTAATCGATTTATAGTTATTTGACGCTTCAATGATACCTTTTGATTGGAGGTTATTAGCAATTCGTACAGAGATTTTGAAGCAATGTTGCTGTCATCTGGGTTTTGGAATTTGTCCAATGTGAAAGAGTAGTACATGTAGTCTTAAATTTTGAACAAAGTGTGGTGATTACATAAATACATGTATCCATGAAAATGTAGTAAAATTATACAGTCGTTTTACTTATATGTGAATTTCAACTTAATTTCTGTTTTTCTAGCGTAGATTATTTTGAATAGGTGAAATGCATATTTATAAAGGAGCAAGACAATTTTTAAAAAGATAATTATTTAAAATTATAATATGCAGATACATATGTAGTATCGCTTTTTTAAAGGGGGTGCCAAATAACCTAAAATACCTAATTAACAAAAAACAAAAGGTAAAGCGCCCAATTTCGAAAATCCTATTTCGTGAGGTAGTTAGGCGCCTTCAATATCCAATCCAGCAACAAAAAAGGGCGCTTTTCAGTGGACATTTTACAATGGAAGTAGATTTTGTTTGCAAAAAAAAAACAAAAACAAAACAGGGTGGGGGGTCTACAGGCGTGATTGACGATTAATTTCGTTTCATAATTATATAATCGTGTTCTTTTTTTATAATGGCCGTATACATTTATTTGGGTAAAAAAAGTAATCCATTTTAATTTTTCTTATTGCATCCTATTTGTAACATTGTAACATTATATGTAATATAAATGTACTTAGTAATTAGTAAAGCACAATGTTTTAAAAATAACAAAACACAAAAGCACATGTACATTATGATAAAACACATAGGGTATATAAATACTCCTTTATCTGGTCCTTTTTATTAAAATGAAAACATTTATCGTGCAATCGCCATTACGAATGAGACTACGCTCAAAAGAAATGTGTTGTTTTTTATTGAGTAATTTATAACTAAAAATATGAGATTATATGAAAAGAATTCAGTTCAAAGTAGACTAAAGATCTCCAACCAAAACTGATATCCTGATATTTTATAAATATGAATACATATGTTATTCATGGTTCCATTTGGTTCCACGTGTTATTGGAATAAAATATTTTTTTATGTTTGGTGTTAGATGCAGGCGTGGGTCCAGATATTTTTTTTTCAAGGGGGGGGGGGGGTCCACCCTAGTAAAAAAAATCCAATCCCAGAAATTTCCTGACAGGCAAAGAAAGAAAGATAAAAACAAAAGTCGCCTAAAAGTCAAAAATCTATTTCATGGGGGAGGGGTGTAATCTATTACTTCTATTGCCTCAAATCTTTCACTTTTCACATCCATTTCACACACATATTCGCGTTTACCGGGGGGGGGGGGGGGTTCAGCGTTTTCCACAACTTTTTTTATTGCTTTATTATATACATTTTTTTAAATCCAGGGGGTCAAAATAATTCTAACATTTTTTAAAAAAAAATCAAGATCCTTGTCAAACGTACTGTATATCGTTAGGTACTTTTAGTTCAGAGACGAGTATGCATCATATGCATTTTTTTACCCGCATTAAACGATTCCTTTTTGTCACAATTTTTGTCCGGCTTCAAATAATACCTCCGTATATTGGTTAGATCTCGGTCAATATAAGAAAAACATCATCTTTTCGAAAAACGTTTTCTCACATATATAGATCACATGGAAACACTTCATTTGTTCGATTAACATTAGCTAGAAATTGGATCGAGTTTTGGCAAAGAAATAAAGAAGCAAAATAAAGCACATGCCATCGTCAACGCCATTTAATTTCCATTCTCGATTACATCCAGCTCAGTATACATGAAGCGATAAAGAGTACAGAAAACCAAGAACACAATGAATATTCTATGTGCATAATAATGATATGCGCAGCTGTATGCGCAGTAAAATTGTTTGTGTAATTTTTAGTTTCCTCTGCTCGCGCAATTTTTGATTTTTGTTTGTGGATAATGTACCCCTAAATCGTGCAAAAAATGTCGGGTTCGTGTATTTTTCATTTTGTTTGTGTTAAAATCTTTCAAACTATGTGCAATTTTAACCTGTACGTGCATTTTTATTTTACTCGTGTAATTTTTTCATCTAACTCGTGTATAAAATCTTTATCGTTGTGCAGAAAATACTTTTGAACCAATCGGCGTGCCATACTAATCTAAAAGACTCGTTTTCATATCTGCATCTAAATTACCATGATTACACATAGGTCTATTAGACTATTAGCATGATTAGAAATATTAGAAATATTAAAGGGAGGTACATGAATTTGTTGATGTTCATTTTATATACCAGGTCCAATCTAAAGACTTTTTGAACTATGACTACGTGTAGCTATTTAAAAGAAAAAAATTATAATAGTTACAGATGTGCACCAAAAGAGAAGATATTGAATTTTTCTCAATATTTCATTGAAAAACAACATGACATAACTAAGACATTGAAAACTTGTTTTCATCAAGTATATAATTGAATTTTCATAGATATATTTTGATAAAAACAAGTTTTCATCTGATTGACAACAAAGTTTTAAAAATATAATTTTTTGGGGGGTATTTTATTGAAAACCACATGGCCTATTGTAATCAAAGTGCAACATGGAAATTTGAATCATATTTGATAATAATAAATTTAACTATACATGATGTTATATGTGGATTTCAATAAAATATATATATACTAGGCCTAGCTGTTACAAAAAAAAATTACATTTGCTGATGTCTTACCTTACATGACAATACTAATCAAAGATAATTACTGTATTTTATTTTAATACACTGCACGTGATGAAAGATATACTCATTTGACCCACAGGCCTTTAGATCACTTAGAAAAAAAATTGAGGTGTTAAAAAAAAAAAAGGTATGGAACTCTTTTCATAGGGTACCTACTTTCACCAATAAAATTCTTTTAAATTGAATGCTTTACAAATTTACTTTTTATCCATATCTATCCATATATAAACAATCTTCATTCCTTCAAATTTCATTCCGTAATTCCTTATACTTCTTAAGATATTATGAAATCAATTCCGAAATTGACCTAAATTTTTTTAATTGACATCAGCTTGCCAATGGGCCCAACACTAATTGTTAAGCGGGAACGACAGGACAAATTTTCTCCAAAGTCTATTCTAAACTCAATGAATATTTGCTCATTTGAATTTGAGATTTACATGATTTTTCTTTAATTGGATCATATGATCTTACTAAGTCACAAACAAAATGTTAGCGGTCTAATTGTTTTGAAAATAGAAAGGTATATAATCATGATAATGCATTACGGGAAAAAATTGTTCAACCATATAGCTTCTTTTGCATTCATAATCAAAATGGCGGTGTAGTTGTTGATGCAGATTTTAACTTATTAATACAGACTACTTAACCTTACAATCTGGAGTAAGAAATCAACTTTAAAATGTTGAAAGATCTTGCAAATGCTATGCAACTCTTCACTGCACCTCATACACCGTCTGTTTACATGTGAATGACCAGGGGCCCAAGCAAATGTCGAGTAAAAGAAAGTAGATCATATTTTAGATTGATTTCAGAATATCTTGAGAAATATCGGTATATGGAAAAATATGTTGTATATCGGCACTATGAATTATTTTGAAAACTGGTTCTTGGAATTTAGTAAGTGTATCTAAACAGTCAACTAGTCAGGATGTGTTACAGTAGATAATAAAGAATGTGTAATGGTGATAATTTTTATTCATTATTCATAGAATTGCCAAATTTGAATATACTGGAAAGAGAGGAGGTGGTGGATGGGGAAGAAGTGACTACATCTGAGGATTGGAAGGAGGGGAGGAGAGTAGTAGAACTTGGAGTGTTAGCTGAGGGCTTGCGGGGATGTTGTAAATGTGGCTTACCATTACAACTTTCACACACTATTTCTGTGTTGACATATGGTTTAGCTTCTTTGTTAAAGGTATGAACTCACCAATTTTTGCACAGTTTGTATAAAAACAACCTTGAAAGGTTTTTCCTTGAATTTTTCTCCATATAAAACAGGCAATATTCCATATATCCATATTTTTAGTTTTGAAAGATGTTACATTTTTTTCTTTGAAGTAATTTGAAGTAATGCATATTTAAATTCTTTTTTCCCAAGCATTTGATTTCATTAATGGTGAATGAATTTAGAACAGTGACCTGTAATTAGGGATTCATTGATTTTACATTAACATTTCAGGTCTGTTGCAGCAATACAAAGTGTAATCATATTAACCATGTAAAAACGGGGAAAAAACATGGAAGAGTGTGGGATGTAAATACAAAGCTATCAGCAGGTAAGAAGTTTAACGTACACATCCCCTACATCAGTTACATGTATATTTATTATTGTCAAGTCACAAGAGCCTGATTGAGTTTTACCTGTCTATTCCAATATAAGCAAGTTTGTTGTCCCCCTCAACAGCAACTTGGACGCACCTTGAGAAATTGTTGCTGTCTTGGGGGACAATAAACTTGCTTTTGTCCTCATAGCCAGTAAATAGGTATATGTATCTATAAATTGATATAATCAGTGGCGGATTTAAGGGGGGGCACACCCGGCGCGCACCCCAAAGTTAGCATAAAACATAGTTTTGTCGAGAAAATGTTTCTGATGTCTACTTGGTAGACCTCATTTTTACCCTACAAAACCTCTAGAATCCAAGAGCTTCGGGGGGCTTCGCCCCCTTGGCCCCCACCAGGGCTTTGCCTCAAGGCGGCCCCCAGACCCCCTGCCTGAATCTGGCGCCCAACCCGCCAGGGTTCAACACTAACATTTTTCGGCGTTGGTCTAGCCGGACTAGTGCATCTTTAATTTTATTAGTCCACAGGCAATTTTATGAGTCCGTCAAAAATATAATTAAACAATAGAATTTACATTTCAAGGTACTTTTTATACTTTTTTTTAATAAACAAAGCATGCGTTTACATGAAATGTTTTATATCAATATTTGTTGAAATTGCCTGATCAGGAACTAGGATCGTGTTCCCGATCTCATTATTCTCTATAAATGATTACGACATCCAAATGCCCAACATCTTTCTTTATGAGTCATAATAAATCATAATCCCTAAAATGTTTAATTTCATTCCAATGAGTCCTAAAATTAAGTGCCGAATTGACTCAGAATTACATAACTTTCCGCCAAGATGCAAGAAAGCTAAAAATACATACGGGTTTTCCAGTGAAAGTTGTCGAGAACTTCGGTAATTTTGTCCCCAGAAAACTTTATTAGTCCATTCGGACTAATACGCCACAACTTTTATTAGTCCAAATGAAAATATATTAGTCTGAGACTTATTAGTCTGAGACTTATTAGTCTGAGACTAACGGACTAACGTTAATGTCTAACCCTGCCCGTCTAACTTCAATTCCTGGATCCGCCCCTGATAATGTTTAATTCAGAATAAAAACTTGATGAGAAGGGCAAGCTATTTTTAACTTATTGAAGCCAGAGGCTCATTTCAGCTTTCTGATCTTTTTCCATTTATCTGTCTGTCAACTTTTCAAAATATGCTTTAAAGGAGAGGGAAGTGGGTACTGGTATACTGTTTTACTCTTGTGTTTTACCACACAGTCACTCCTTGTTTTGGCAATATGCCATATGATGGAATTCACTTTTATAGAAATCCAATGTCTGCTTCCTATTTATCCATGTGTCTGCCTGTATATTCACAAAAGAACCTATATTCACATCATAGAAAGGGTATAACAAGTTAGAATGGGACTTTTTTTGATTTGTTCTCTAAACCACTTGACTATTCAGATGGAAAAAATTCTCTGTAGAACAGCAAAGCCTTATTACTGTATTAATCATATTGATATTGAATCATCCTAATGTAGATCAATTCAAGTTTTGTTGCCATTACCCCTAGGGGTTTAGCTTGTTAAAAGTATGGGTTCTATTTTTAATTTCTGGTAATAAAGAGAGAAAATAAATGAGACTAGGGTGAGTGTTGTATTTCACAAGCTTCTTGTTTAAAGTGATTAGATTGATTTCTTTTTTACATTTATGAATTTGTATTTACAGCAATTGTACATGTTGGTATCGGTGCAACACAAGTCAACAGTCTCCTTTCTGAGCTGAATATACCACCTGTAAGCCATGCCATGCTGGACAAAAGACAGAAAGAGATAGGCAGAGCTGTTGAAGATATTGCTGCAGAGTCTATGTCTGATGCTTTGCAGAAGGAACTGGAAATGATGAATGAGTGTGTAAACAATATAAATTCAGTTTAAATCTCACTATTTAGCTCAAATGAGCCAGAGGCGCAATAGAGCTTTTCTGATCAGATCAATGGGTGTCCAGCATACATGTGTAGTGGTCATATGGTATAACCTGTGTTGGTTAAGTCACAATGACTAACATGTATGTCACAAACATAACAACCCATTTAATTTTACATATAAGATACATGTATGTACTAATTGCATGCATTTTTGAAGGAAAAATTGTCTTATTTTCTTTACTTATTGATGGAGAATTAAATTATAAGGAATTAACTTCATATATAGTTATCCAAGTTATAATAGTGTAACCTGCTTTGAAATGAAAGCCTCGCTGTATAGAAAGCCAAAACTGGCACAACCCAGGATATACAGTATAACTTGGGTAGCTATTAAATTCATTCCTAGAATGAATTAAAAAAGGAAAATTTGATTGAAGAAAAAAAATTGAAGAGTGACAGAGACACAATCTAATTAAAACTAGTGCTAATTGTAACGGGGACCGTTACAGATGTTCCCCAAACGCTCCCCAACTCCCTTTTGGTGCCATATTCCCTGGAAGCTTCATTAAATAAGACAAACTCGATGCATTTGAGACTTAAAAACGTTTACCCAGAAGTGTACAAAGTTCATTCAAATTTTAGCATTGCACGCGTGCACATGTGAATGCATGTGCGTAATGACCATATCATTTTGTCTACACAATCTATATATTTTAATATACTTAATATTAAAGTATTTAATCCAAAAGTATTAAAAAGATACGCTCATTCACTTGTTTTTTTTTTTTATTTTGCTCATTTCACGTGCACGCACGTGCAAACATGAGCATGGTGACCATACCTTCTTGTAGATGTCCGTTACATCTATCTATGTTCTAAATCCCACCCCGTTTGGTTGAAAATCAAGGGAGTTATAGCTGTTTAAAGTTTCAGCCAATCAGATTGCAGCGCATGTACATGCACGTGTATGCATGTGCATGGTGACCATATTTTCTTGTAGTAGTCCAGTTTATCTATCTATGTTCCAAATCCCATCCTGTTTGGTTGAAAATCAAGGGAGTTATAGCTATTTAAAGTTTCAGCCAATCAGATTGCAGCGCACGTGCATGCACGTGTTTTCATGATAATTGCTATACATCATGTTGTAGGATATCTTAATGCAAGGCTATTTTCAAAATTTCAAAGGATTTCGTCAAAAAACAAGAAAGATATTGAGACTTTAGTTTTAGCCAATCAGAGCAAAGCGCACGTGCATGCGCGTGAGATCTTGCTATTTTGACCATGTCATATTGTCTATGCTACTAATATATCCTTATATCATAAGTTTCAAAGCATTTCATCGAGAATTCAAAAAGTTACGCCTATATCAATTAAATCGGTCATTACACATGTTGCACGTGCACGCTCTTGCAAGCACGTGCACGCAAAATGACCTTCGTTCCGCAAATCTACATAACATGTCTACTGACCCTAAAAACATTTCACCTTAGTCGGATGTATAGTTTACGAGATCATTCCCAGACAAAAAAGTGCCCAGGAAGAAGAAGAAAAATAATAATAACTAGAAAAGAAACTCGTTGCGAGCAACGAGAGGTCTTCCGTCCGATTCAGAAAAAAAACCCCGTAAAATCATACTGAAAAATGATTTTAAATATAGCTAAGCTTTCGCCAGCGTGAAAATCCATTGCGGTACCCATTACAACTTTCCCGCTTCAAATCTAACATTCGAATATCGCGAGATTGCTTTTTTTGATTCCAACAAACTTTACAATTTTTTTAAAAATTCAGTTTGGAATTATAAAATGAGAGCTAGCTTGCCAAACTTTGCTCAAGATGATCACAAAATTTGTTATTTGAGTTTTAACAGTAACTTTTAGTATAGATATTCTATTAGTGATGAACAGATGATACTGTTTTCTTTCCTTTTTTAATATGCATTCAACTTTTTATTCCATGCAACTCCATATACAGGCATGTCAATGTTATATATTTCTGCACTATTGTCGCCATTTGTCTACTACTTAAGTTGGGTCACGATACATTATTTCGTGCCAAATGTCACAAGTAATTCTTAACGCTATTCCTTTGAAATGTTTGATCTATTGAATGGATGTGATAACTTCAATGAAAATAAGATATGCATGGTCTTATAACCGGAATTTCGAGCGTTAGAAACTATATTTATCACATTGTTCATATATAATATCGTATACGGCCAAGTGACACTACACTGTAATTATAAAGCAGTGAATTCGGTAAGATTTTCCACGAATTTTGTATCCTCTTTACCTCCAAAGTAGAGATGAGTTACACGTTCTTGAAAGGACTGAAATGTCTCACTGAAAAAAAAAAATCACTAGCCCTCCGAAATTAATAATATACAAGGATATAGTGAAATGCTTATACTATTTATGTTCAATAACTTTCATTTGTTACAAGAATATTTATATAACCTTTAATAAACAATCTTTAAAAAAATGTTTTTCTTATTCTTGTCTTTTCTATTCATTTAATATGACACAATCCTGCGTGGAAAAATAAACAGAAGTCAAGTAAATTCAGAAACATAGTGAATATGAAGAAGGCAAGTTTCTTGAAAGGCTATTTCTTATAACCATGGTTTAGGATAAGTTTTCCCTGGTGCAAAACCAAAGGTTGAAGTCGTATTTCCACTTGTAGTCATGTTGTATTCTCCTTTGAGATGCA